TGGCGTGAGTAAATGAAGGACATTCATGGCGCAGCCATATTCTACCAAAGGTCAAGCAGAAAACATCTCATTACTTGTAAGGCCTTTTTTTGTAAGGCATTTTTTGGCCATGACTCAATAAACCACTCACTAGTATACAGAAGTTTATTACATGAAATAATTAAATTTTTATCATTTGCTTTGCAGGCCAATGGAAATACAATCTCAAGAGTAGGACATGTAAGCTTAGGTTTTAGTAGATACCGTTAATTAGAAACACCATAAATTTGGTGTCTATAATAACAAGAGTCCATTATGAGAGTGGGGAATATTCAATGAGTAAATTTTATATATTTTATTCATTTATGGATGTTAATTCTTATTTTTCTTTTTCTTTGTAGCATGCTCGATTAGCAAACAACATCGCCCAAAGTGTGAGGCAGCAATTTGTGAGACCTCAACCTTTGGGTGATCTTGTAGTACCTACAAGATCATCACAAAATAGGAGAAGAGGGAGAGGCAGGACACAAAACTCCTCTCCCTCTAGAAGAGAGCAGCACTATATCTTTGATGCGGTTGTGCTAAACCAGAATGTAAACTCCGTCCCAAGAGGGAATAGCAGACAAAGTCTTGCTTCTTCTGGGCTGTTGAAACAAATGGTTTTAGCAAAAGGTTGCCCAGCAGGGGAAACCCTGGAGCAAATTAAGCGGCTTTTCCCCATTTTGAGGTAACAATATGTAATTCCAGTAAATTTTTCTGTGATGTAAGTTACAAAGATGTGATTTTTCCCCCTTATCTCTAGGGACAAGAGCTTTCAAATAATGGAATGTGTGGGGAATAATACCCTTGCCCTATCTRTTAGAGACCCCGTACAGTGTACAGCAAGAGACTTAAATTCTGTGAGAGGTCAGGGAAGCCTCTATTTGAGGCTAAACAATGCATCTGTAAGATTGTTAAGGAAGCATAATTTACGTTTTTCATCATTCATGCATCCAGTTTTCATTTTTGTATTATGTGCCGCACTGTTAGTTGTGATTTTGTAGTGCATGTGCCAAACGATTTACATTATTATTCGCTTTGCTATCTCAGGGAAATGGAAGGTCAAATCCAAGAAACAGAGGTACATGTTCAAATAAAAAAAAAAAACTATAAAATTAGAATAACAGTAATTATTTCCATAATGTCTTGGAAATTGTTGCCTGCAGTTATCATCAGTATGTTTCTAAATGACTCTAATTTGTAATTGTATCGGACAGCTCTTTCGCCAAAATATGAATGCAACTTTGGCTGCTGATCAAGATGTAGATGATGATTCATATATTGACACTTTAATGAGTGAAATGGATATGCCATCAATAGGTATCAAATGATAAACAACAAACATGAAATTCATTTCTGTAACACTTGTATCAACTGTCAAACGTATATTTTTTACAATGCCATTTTGGTTTGCAGAAGACTCTACTGCTGGTCAGGGGTCTGGAGTACAACAAGGTATGATATAAAATAAT